AAAACTGATGCCGGCTCAACCCGCCCGAGGTGAATGCCGTTACAAGTACAAGAAAGTACATCAGAAGAAGTTGCAAACAGTTGCGTCCTTTTCTCTGCAGTGTCTAGTTCTCTTCAAGGTGAGTCTCTGTCACCGAAAATGGGGCTAAACGGTATGCCTATAGCACCTTCATCGCGTATAGCCTGTCCTTGGCATACCAAACACGTGGTCACGGCTTTCGAGCGTATGGAAGCGTTTAAAAAATATTGGATTACGCAATAGGCTTTTCAAATTGACGCTGGCCGAATCGCACGGGCGACATGCGTTTAGTCATTTGCATCCACATATCACCCTTGTGGAGAGACCCGCACGCAGACTTAGCTTCGACGGCGTTTGGAGGGTTCACAACGGAATCAAGCCGCTGCATGGAAAACACGCTTCGTATTGGTGGCTCTTCGGTTCTGCAAAAGATAGTCGGGCTCAGATTATGTTGGTAGTTTTGGTACACTGACTGAGGAAGTCGTCATATGCTAGTTCCTGTCGTCCCAACACTACATGCCGCCTAGTACTCAGCAACCTAGAGACGTCCGATGTTAGTTCTGGCGTACAATAAAACTTTGTGAAATCTGCTTAAGTAGGTCGAATGGACTACCAAAAAGGGCTCTAGGCAGCCTCAGTGGTGCTCCATCTGCACTGACATACCTTCTGAATGTCCTCAAAATAATTATGATATCGTCCACTGGAGAAAATAGTTCCGGTTGAAAGGGGCGGCTAAATCCATCAGTTTATTTAAAAGCAACGCAACGTTCTGGAGCCGCAATTTTAACCGGGCAGGAGCTACGAGTCTCAACTTTCGCTTTAGAGATCGTTTATGCTTATCCGTTAATAGCCCTGACATCGGCGCGCACACATGACCGCAAGTACCAGCTTTAATAGATAAGCACGTGTTTACTGCCTTTGATCCCTCTGCAATTTATGACCAAAAGAAGGAAGGCATCTTGTTGAGGAGAGTGTTCTCCGAACTCCGAAATTAAGGTTACAAAGTAAGGCTACGTTTAAAGACAATCTACTCCATTGGTTCCCCATCTAGTGCAAGCCATCACTGTAAACGTCGAGTCCTTCAAAGCATCTATAAAGTATACTACGACAGTTAAGCGACAGAATATCAATAGTTGAGGGTAAAAGCTAACAAGACCTAGAAAAGGCAAGTTTGTGGAGACATCAGAAAACATGGGGAGAGGAATATGCCCCGTTTCTGTGGCGTGAATATGCAGGACGTTTAGCCCTCAATGTATGTTGTGGTGGTGGTGCGTTATCGTCAAATTACCAGTCTGGCCTCATACGTTTGGTTGTATTTCGCTAACACCAGAGGAGTAAGGGGTATCCAGATAAGACGTAAACTTTGCCGTGCTCACTCCACTGGCCATGAAGCACGTAATGGTTATTACGCTTAGTCACGTACTGATACCCATCTCTCACTCTCCAGTAGACTATTTCCACAACAGTCACACTGTTTAGCATGCCAACAGGCGAATAAATGAAGCGAGGGTAGCCTGTGGTCTTTTCTGAACGAAACCTGATTCAGTCAGTATTGATGAAGCAAAAGTGTCGCGCCACCTGCAGACGTAAGCCCAGTCACTCACAACTCCACGATCCTCCTTCCTAAGCCAAAACAAACATTCAGTGCAGAGCGAAGCCCAATCCAAAAAACAACCTAGGCCATTCCGAGCAGTCTTTCAACTAAATCAAAATCGTGATCTACACCTGAACTCGGCAACTGCTTGTGACTTGTAAGCAAAAAAGCACCCTTTACTCCTTTCGCGTGGGAAAAAGTTGGAAGACGTAACCCAAAGAAACGATGGTAATCATGTCGTTTGCAAACTGACTGTGGCTCGAGACCGCTAAACACACGGTCGAACCACCGTAATCTTCCCAGCCTGAGGGACTTCCCGCACTATGTTAACCTGGAATGTTCATTAACTTCCAGATAATTCGGTGTCCAGCAGGCCGAAAGAAAGGATGGCTCTAGTTCCCAAAAACTGGCCCCTTACTAGTTGAATATCACGCACTCATCAAGATTCACCGCCGCACGCACCTCAATACCTCCCAAGAACGGAACATAAACAGCTAACTATTAACGTGGAAAAAATAAGGAACTAGAGGTAAAGAACCCTGTCAAAAACTTAGTGATAATAAGGGAAATTAAATTTTGCAATATGGGCAGAGGAATCAGGCAGAGAATAAACTCGGAAAAATAGACTACCTACCTGTACTTATACAGCCATTTATTTCGAAGAAGGTTCCTTGACTCATCATTTTGTAGAGAATAGAACATGAGCGCCTGTCTAATGCATGATTTGTTGTAGCTCTATCACTCTTGTCTCGAGTTCGTTCCGATGACTTCAAGTTAAAATCAATCTTGTTCTGGAACTTGTGAAATATGGCCTTTGTGTTGTCCGAAGTTTCAAAACTTCGCATTTCAATGTCATCGTATTCGTCAAGCGAGTACTCCATCCCGCGAGGCAAAATGTGACGACCTACAAGAATATGGTCAGTAGGCACCACACATTCATACCATCGTAAGAGAGGATAGTAGAAGAAGAAACTCGGGATAAAACGAATGTATAATGATGTAGAAGTTATAATAGGGTTATGAATAATATAGGGAGTGAATATAAGGACGACTGTATAACATGGCTACAAGGGGTTAATAGGGAGGGAGCAGCCGGCTGCTAATAATGAGGATGGTCATATAAAAGGATTTGGATTTGAGTTGAAGTTGCTGGCCGACGGGTGCGTTGGCCGTGTTGGATATTCTGAAAAGGGAAATAGTGGGAATCTTTAGTCAAGGTTACCTGGGAGGGTTTGGTCTCGTGACACAGCCCCCTTCAGAAGATTGAGCGCTGTCCTCAGCGCGGGGTAAGTTAGGAGTGGGGATGTAGGGTAATTTAGAGGTGACTGTGTGAGATGTTTAAGGAGTGGGATTTTGAGCAGGTAGGGAGTCAGAGATACACGGTTTTAGACGATTAAAATGTACTTGCAGGGTCCTACTGAAAGGGTTAGATTCCAGGCGGATACTGGCGACAGAATTTGACATTGGTCGTAGGACAGTGTAAGGTCCGGACCACCTGCGGTGGAATTTCCTTGAAGCACCTACTGGGGGGTTGTCGTTGCGCAACCAAACACGATCACCAGGTTCGTATTGTACTCCATGTGCCAAATGGTCGTAGTAGTTCTGCTGATGTGTGTGCGGCTTGCAGTTTTTCTCTGGCCGCGGTGTGGATGTGTTGTAGAGAGTATGAGTTGGTTAAGATACGGATGCGGTTGTTCTGTTGCCGGGATGGCGTGTGGTATAGTTATTTCAGAAAGTAACCGAAGATCACGCCCGAAAAGCATAGTGTGGGGAGTAAACGAAGTAGAGGAGTGGATCGTGGCACGGTAGGCCAAGAGACATCGGGGAAGAAAGTCATCCCAGGAGTCTGCACGAAATTGAGCGACCATGCTGCGAAGGAATGATATTAGTGTCTTATTTGTGCGTTCCGTTTGTCCATTTCCGGCGGGGTGGAATGGGGAGGAACGTGTTTTTGCTATACCTAGCAAGTGACAAAGAGCCCGAAACAGGCGACTTTCGAAACCGGCACCTTGATCTGTGTGGATGATGTAGGGTGCTCCATACCAGGCGATCCAGTTGTCGATTAGTGCTGCTGCTATGGTAGGGCTTTCTTGATCAGGAAGTGGGATGGCTTCGCACCATTTCGTGAAATAATCAACGATGACTAGGATGAAGCGGTTTTTCTTTGTTGTCTCAAATAGAGGTCCAATGATGTCTAACCCGATGCGGTGGTTAGGGAAGCCTGATGACATTGGTTCTAGTGGTGCGCGTGGACGGGTGACGGGATCATTGATTTGAGCACAGGTCTGGCACCTATGACAGAAGAAGACTACGTCCGCTCGCTGAGCGGGCCACCAGCATCGTTGACGGATTGCAGCGAGGGTTTTCGCCTGTCCACAGTGTGCTAGTTCTTCATGGGTGTCGCGGATGAGTTGATGTCTAAGAATGCGAGGTACCACTAGACGTTGGGGAAGGGAGGGATGATGCTGAAAAAATAAGATGTTGTCCACTAGGCGGAGAAAAGGCCACATCGACCAAAGGCAAGGGGCTTCCCAGCTGAAACTTTCCATCTCGTGGGCGGTGGTTTTGGGGAAACCGTGTTAGTGTTGGTCGTAAATAAGGGAGATATCGTGGTCGGATGTCTGCATTTGTGCCCATTGTTCTTGCGCAGCGTGAGACATGTGTATGGCTGATATCGAGAGGTTGGTGTCCGGTGCCACGGTCGGAGGAAGTGGTGGGCGGGAGAGCGCATTGGCGTTAGTGTGTTGTTTCCCGGGACGAAATTCAATTTTATAATCGAATTCTTCAAGCATTTCTCTCCATCTGGCGACCTGTCCTTCGGCGTCTTTGAAATTTCGGAGCCATTTGAGTGCTTGATGATCGGTGCGTACGACAAAAAGTTTAGCGAGCAAAACGTGTCGGAATTTCTTGACAAACGTGACTAGGGCTAGCATTTCTCGTTTTGTGGTGTTATACTTACGTTGGACTGTGTCCAAGCATTGACTGGCGTAAGCTATTACGCGTTCATGACCGTCCTTGTCGGCTTGGCTTATGACGGCGCCAATGGCGAATCTACTGGCGTCAGTGTCCAAAATAAATGGTGGACTGTGAATACTGCCATTTGGGGAAACAAGAATGGGTGTAGACGTTAGAGCGTCTTGGAGAGTTGTGAAGGCTTGACCGCATTCTGCCGTCCATGCAAAATTACGATCTTTCTCGGTCAATCGGTTGAGGGGGAAGGCGATGTTCGCGAAGCCGTATATAAAGCGACGGTAGTAGGAAGCCAAACCTAAAAACGACCGCACGTCTGTTTGCGATTGTGGTATCGGCCATTCACGTATCTGTCGGATCTTCTCGGGGTCGGGAGCGATGCCCGCTCCGGATACCACGTGCCCAAGGTATGTTACTTGGCGTTGGACGAAGTGGCATTTATGGGGTTTATAGTGAGACCAGCAGCCTGCAACCTCCCGAGCACTTGACTCAGGTTGTCGAGTAAGTGGCCTAAGGACTTGCCGTGTACGATTATGTCGTCAAGATAAACGAGACAAGACAGGGGTGATAGATCTCGAAGTACCAGTTGCATCAACCTTTGACAAGTAGCGGTGGCGTTTGCA